ATTTAGCCCCCAGGTATGCGTGGTGCCCGCGTATAGCCCCGTGAGGATTCCTGACGCGAAAATCGCTAATTTGGGGACCAGGAAGGCTAGGAGGCTGAAATTTTCAGGGAGTTTTCCCAGCACATGTGCAACTTAAAGTCATCATGCGTGCTTCTCGCGTACAGCCCCGTGAAATTTTTTGGCGGGAAAATGGCTAGCACGAGAACCTGGAAAGCTAGAAGTCTGAAATTTTCAGGGAATGTTCCCACCACATGTACAACATAAATTTATCAAATTCAGCCCCTCAGTTATAATGTGTGGCCCTGTGAGATTTGCTGGCGGGAAAATGGCTAACTGGGGAAATCGGAAAGCTGGGAGCTGAAATTTTAAGGGAATGCCCCCTGTCCAAGTACCGCGTAGACAATTAACTTCCCGAACTTCGACGACCAGTATGTTACAAATCCTAGCTACTGGGTTTCCGAGAGATCTCATTTTAACACGAAATACTGCAAAAACGCATGATCGCACGGGCTTGCCCCGTGCACGTCGCCAATGATTTTATAAGAATTGCGATCTGGTTCGTTCCTCTTGAAATAAAACCTATTTTGACGACAATCCGGACGAAATAAGTGTAAATGCCGAGTGTTTGGCTTAAAAATAAGCACCAGTGCCACCGCATGCGTGCATTAATATGACTGATAATAACTCGTGGTACTAGTGCGTGCGGGGAGTATTCATCCTCGTACGGCCTAGAATTTCCTGCATTCTGTCTAGAATCACTTAAAAATAATTAGAAACTACCTTAGGCTATAATCCACTCTGGGTTATAATCTGCTAAAGCATGAATAAAGTCGATCATATGCAGATCTTCGAAACCCGGGATGGGCCCATGAAATACTAATTCTGAGTTTAACAATTAGATGTGGCTATGTTCAAATCTCGAAAGGCGGGTAAATCAGAGAACCGATTCTTATTTTTGCTCCAAACTGCGCCACTTACCTACCCAATGTGAAAACTGAGCCTGTTCCATTTCAACGTTTAAATCAATTTAATTTGTACCTGAGATCGCGGTAGTGAAAGATTTGCAAGCTGATTCCAAATCATTCACTCTGCAACGACTGGTAAATGAAAATTCCAAAACTTCAAGGTCGCAGTCGTTCGATATCAAACCTATAAGACTAAACTCAGTTAGGACCTGGGCTCTTTCAATTAGCTAGCTAATTTCAGTTAATCTGACTTTGTGAAGTGTATTCATCCCTAGCAATTGTATAATCTTTTTTCAGTCAAATTACTAGTTAAACTTTAGAAGATCAACACAAAGAAAAGTCCGAACCGTGAATCCCTTTTCATGACTTCATATGTGGTAGGGGCAACGTTTTAAAAGTCTCAAAATTTCTTAACTTCGATAAAAATAGAATGTTGAGGAAGGGCGATAGAAGCCCTGCCAAATTTGGCATGCTGAGCAAGGTTGACAAGAAGGTTGGAACTGTAAAGTGGTGTTTTGCGGCGGTAAGTAGGCCGAAGCTTACTTTGTGAAGTAGTGGACCATGCTAATCGAAGGAAATCCAGCATAGTTGAATACCCTGTGATTTAAGGCGGAAAGGATGAAATTTAGCGTATGGTAGTGGGGAAATTAAATCCGTACAAACACATATACGTATGCATACGTATATATGCATATACGGTGCACGACTTTGTTTAAAATGCGAGACCTAGTATTTTCTCAACTAAAAATAACATTATAGAAAAAGTTTAAAAATAAAATGAAGCGCTTTTTTAGCAAACAAAAGCTGCTCCGGAGATTACGCGTTCACTTATCTGTCGGATCGCTATATGGATTCTCGAGAGGTACGGGAGGTTATACGAACGAATACTCTGGAAGACTGTTTGAGTGCTTGTCTTGATGCTGCTATTTATGCATGTCGTAGCGTCTCATATAATCGAACAGACGGTGACTGCCTCCTGTCGCAGCATAATCAACTCAGCAAACCAGCTTTAATCAGGATCAACAACAATCCCAATTATCGGATTGATTACTACGAAAATAGCTGCTTTAATAGTAGGTTTGCTGAACTCACTTTATTATTCTAATGCACGGGATCAATTTGATGGATCAACCACCAAAATTCCTAGCCGAAATCTTTTCTGGTTTTTGAGCCACAAGTTTTGAATACCCTTGGACCTGAAGCTACTGGATGGG